AAGCATGCTTTTTCATGCCCGGTGGTTCTGATGCTTACTGTCTTTGCTCCACATTTTTCAAGGGTTACTGGACTAGGCATATCGAACGCCAAAGACGTTTCATCCATGTTACCAATATATCTAACAGGGTAGTCATACTGATTACGTTTGAACAAAATCAAACTAAGGAATTTACGTTGTTTTTCAGCCAGGGCTGCCGGAAGGTATTGCGCAACAGTTGTACGTCTACGGTTCGAAAGATCATTACGACATAAGAACCGACTCAACCAGGAAATAGAAAATTTAAAGCTAGCGATGTTAGGGTAAGTATTCTTAATTTCATCGGTCTGGGCCAAAGCCTTAGCCTTCCTAACTACCATATTTCTAGTAACAGCATGTTGATATTACGATGCTCTTCGATCCAATCTATTAAGTTTTCTTTCAACAGGAGATACTGTGCTTGCCGACCATGATTGAGTGTTAAAGTGTACGGTGCTGCATTCAGAAGTTCTTGCTTTTTGTTACGCCACTCACGGACTTGTTTCGGTTCGATTTCAAAGCGTTTCGCGGTTGCCCTCACACTATTAATATGCTCCAAGTAGAAGATAACCATAAGTTTTTCTTTAACACTCCACGAACAACGACTTTTATTAGTAACACGGGCACGTCTCGCAATATTTTTTCTTGAAGGCATCCTTGTTTTAAAAAAGTTTGAAAGTTTTTGTTCTATGTATTGTTCTTTGAATTATGTATATTATAAAACAATTCTTGGTTTAGAAAAATCTATTTATCTACCTTATATACACATGTGAAAAAAAAAATTATAAAAAAAAAATCGAGCACATGTGGAAAAAAAAACTCGGGTACATGTAAAAAAAAAAAGTTTGAACACATGTAAAAAAAAAAACAAACGAAAAAAAATTAAGGCCCACTTGTCCTTATGAACATTAAAGGAGTTAGAAGACATCTCGAAAGGTAAAAGTTTAGCGGCACGTGTGTTTCTATTCATGAAAAAATCTTAATT